ATGTAAAAGAAAAAAAATTTTATTTATAAATCAATTAACAACTCAATTGATACCAACTATCTCAGAAACTATCAGATTAAGTCCAAAAGATAGCAAGAAAAATTTTATTTATAAAAAACAAAAGTAGGAGAATGTCGTAACTGCCATGTAGGCCAAACTGTTCATCCCCTCGGTAAGAAAGGATTAAATTTGTACATGTGCCGAAGACGACGCAAGTCTCTGTAGACACAGAAATGAAGGAGGCACATTCCATGCCCTATATGAACGTACAATTCAGTGTCAAAGAGAAACAGAGAGATAAGATAACAGGCAAATTACTGTATAACATAGTAAATGTGATGAATGTTTGTTTAGGTCTCACTCTCCCAGAGCATTAGACAACAAAGAGCTAGGCGGGTACCATAAGGCATTGTTTGTGCTGAGGAACATGGATCTTACTGGTGGGTGTATTATTGGAGTGGAAATAGGTTTGTGCGGGGAGATGGCAGGAGAGTTCTCCCAGAGGCTTTTGAGAGTGTGATCATTAAGGACAGATAAGGTGGCGGTTACCAGGATAGAGGAAGGTATATTTGAGACAAGCCTCGGAGAAAGAATGCCAGACCTCAGTGAAAGAGAAAAATAGATGGAGGAATTTGCATAGATGGCTTCGAGGAATACGCAGATATTTTTGCTACTGACCGTGACAGAAATTACAAATTTCTTTGCAGTGTTGCCAAATTGATCTGCCTGTTTCACAGTTAGGTAGAATCTAAGCTGTACGACATCATCAGAGAGATACTGTGATATTATCTCCTTCTCCCTATTCTACCTGTTCCTGTCACACATCTACTCCCTAAAACTTTTCCTCATCTGCCCATCAGAGTGCCTTTAGAAACACTCTAGTGCCTTTTAGAAATGCTCTAGTTCAGATTATATATTATAACTCCAAAGTCCCTCATAAGAATATTAAAAACCCTAGGACAGGGCAACACATTAAAGAATTTCTAAATCTTAGCTGATATTGATTGTTGGATTGTAGCTGGGCCACTTAGAGAAGAGAGAGATGTTTTGAATGTGGACAGGCATCCGTATCTGAAGCACGAATGACCCTTAAGGAATGGAGGTCAGGATGAAATATAAGAAGATAATTAAAACAATTAAAATTTTTCTATGAATGACTTCTGCTTGGGGAGAGGCAGGGAGGACAACTGCATCGAACCACTGAGGGGACTGCAGTGACCATTACAGCATCCTGAGTCCTTATTTACAGTGAGAAGTCAATGATGAATGTTGTCCCCCACTGGGATCAGAAGTGAGCTTAGAGCACAACTCGCATCTTTCCAGGTGTCACTATATACCCATATAATTATAATTCTGGCAAAAAGAGAAAAAATACATATAAAAATTTTACTAACCCTTAGAGACAAAAAAGAATGTCATAATTTTCTTTCCAGGATAAGCCATATGGCCCTTTCCTGATAGGAATTCCTTTTATAAATAGAATTTACCATGGCACACACATATACCACTTGTACAGGTACTCTTTCCCACTCACAGGAAACACAAAGACACCTAGTAAAAGTGCATAAATTTTACCATTACGATGATATATATAAATGTGACATTTCCTGCATGTAACTGTTAGTAGACATGTCTGAGAAGAAGTAAAATCTATTCTGTGTTTAGTTTTCCTCCAAGTATGATGGAATTCTTAAATCCAAGATGTTTCCCTTATTGAATTCCACTCCAAAATAGAGCCCTATAAATGCCACTGAGGCAGAGTTTATGTCTTCACCATCTTAGAGGAGAGGTCCTTAGCCATCTCCATGACACCTTACATGTGGTTGGGGCCAATACAATTTAGTTGAATTATGCCAAAAACCACTTGATGATTTGATCCAGGCTTTCTTGGTTCACCTAGAGGGTTGAATTTCCTGGAATCGGATGGTTCTATGTGCCAAATTCAGGGGACATCTAAGTTTTGCACAATGCCTTCATATACTTCTTGGAGATATGCGTATGAGATAGAGTCTATGAGACTTCCTCGGAGCTATTTAGAGCACCTGAATAGAATTTTTAAGTCTCCTGAGTTGATCCTGGGGAGTAGGAATAGGATGTGTTGAATAATTCCACTTACCTGTCATGGTCTAGTGCAGGATTTCTCAATCTTGATTCTCAACCGTTGATAACTAGGACCAGACAATTCTTTGTTGTGTTGTGCATTGTAGGATGCTTGGAAGCATCCCTGGTCTTTACCTACTAGATGCCAGTAGCACCTCACACACAGTTGGGTCAACCAAATATGTCTCCAGACATTGCCAAATGTCCCCTAGGGGAGGGAGACAAAATTGTCACTAGTTGAGAACCACTGTTCTAGTAGAAGTATGAAGGAAAAATTTTAATGTGGCAAGAAGCTTGAATAAAGATTATGTCTCAAGATCTTACTTTTTAAGAAACATAAATGATAACTGTGATCTAGGGTTCCTGTCATGTGTTCCCATGCTCCTCTGTGTACGTCTTTACTTAGCTATTCCCATTACTGTACTGTAATCCCTTGTTTTCTTATTTGACTTGCCCATTATATTACATCCAATAAGAACTAAATCACCGTTGGTGAGTTAATGAATGAATATGATAAGCACAGTGTAAGATTATAACTTTGGGGCTATGGTACCATCCCTGGGTGTTTTCTCTTCCCAGGACCTTGGCAGAATCAGGTACACAACCATGGAGAACAGGCCCAGGCCATTTAAAAAGATACTTCCTTAGCTATAAGTTGTTCCAAGTGACATTCTTCATTATCAAGCATCCAGTGCTTGACATGTCCGAAATATCCTACCATCTGCCAACACAGTACACTGTAGACTTTCCTCAAGACTCTTACAGTCTAAGAAGGGTAAAATTGATTATAACTACAAATGGAAAATTCCTCTCATGAATAGATAAAGAAATTAAATAAACCCATACAATGAAGAAAGGGCTACAAAACCCAGGGTGAGGTCCTATGTCTCATTCCTCTTCACCAACCAATGTTTGCAGGTTCCAGATCTATAAAATAATGAGATCTATCCATTTGGTATTCAGAGTTCTTGAAGCTTCTGGGATTCTAAAGGGATTGTATCTAGAATACAGATGCATAAGTATGGCTTTTCCACTCCCGACTGATGGTGAAGTTCGTGCCTTTGCGCATCCTCTTTCATGAGTATTTTGACAAAGAGCTAATATTGGCGAGTGCCTGTGAAGACAGGGTGCAGACACTCAGTACACACATCTTGTCTCATACTCACAACAACCTTGAAAGACAGGTGTTATCATTCCTAACCATCAGATGAGGGAGACAATGGCTGAGATCTTTAAGGAAGAAACAGAGCTGAAATTCCGAAGTTGAGTTCTAACTCTAAAGCTCTTTTTGCCACACTCCAGCAATATGGTCTCTTTTTATTTAACCAGCCATCAAATCTTATGGTCCAGTACTATACTAGATTCTGGAACATAAAGGTGAATGAAATGTGGTACCTGCTCCCAAAGATGTCATAACCTAGAATAGAAAAGTTATGGGAACAGATACATATAAAATAGGCACATACAAAGTGGTTGTGTGAAATAACAAAAAAGGTGCTGCTTGTCACTTATCACTCTAAGAAGTATGTTGTATTAGACACTTCAGAGAAGGCCATTACTCAGTAAGACTGGCTACCTTCTTGTCCTCCTAGGGAGTTAATAGAATTAATTATCTTTGGGGAAAGTAAGCTGTACTTCAACTTATAGCTTTAATTTCTCTTTTTACTCATATACTTTCTGTTGGACCTTTTTTTTTGTGGTTTCCATCTTAAGAGTTTAAAGAAAACAGTTTTGATATGAATGGGAGTAGACACATGCCGTCACACCACACCTTGTAAAGGCAAAATAAAACTGGGGGAAATTTCCAGGAAGAGGTACGGCAAAGCACACAAGATGTCCCAAGCCCTCACTTCCACAAAAAGGCACAGCGAGGCCATTTCAAAGAATGTGGGCAACCACATAACCACGGGCATTTCCTGGTGAAAGAAAGGTCCTCCATGGTTCCTTTCCTGGGAGCAGTCGTTTTAACTGTTGAGCAAACTCAGGGCTGCTGAGCCAACTACTTGCTGGGAAGGGAATGAGCTTGTCCTTCCTCGGTATTTAAAGACTATTTGTAGGAGTAATTCTGGGGCTCTCATCTGAATGTGAGAAGATGGGTGAAGTGTTCTCTGTGGAACAGATGCAGCTTTTACTTCTCTAAGTGCACACATTCTGAGTTTCTGGTGGCTTCTTCTTTCTTTTCTTTTTCTTTCTCCACTGCCATTTATTGTTCAGTCTGTTATCCCTTGGTCCTTCTTTGCTCATTTTCATCTTTGTCATTTTCCTTTTGGTTTTCGTTGCTGTCCTTAGCCCTTAAAATTTTTATGAAGGCAGTTTTTCCCTTTATATTCAAAATGTGTTGATATTCAATAGTCTTCCTTGTAGGATTTCAAGCTGAACTAAAAAAATGGCTAGAAAAAGAAAAGTAAACATGACTTTCTCAAACTTTCTAAAACTTCTTTTTGAGAGAAGAGAAAAGGTCCAGGTCAGTTCTTATTTTCATCTGAACAGTTTTCCCATCCAAATAGTCAGCATAAGGAATGTAAAAAGATTTAGGGGAGTACAGTCAGGGTTATGAATAATTCAAATATACATTAAGAATGCAGAACTTTGGAGCAACCAGTACATTTTATGGAGAATATTGGAAAAACACTAGGGAATGGAAACAAATATATTCTCTTTTTCTTCTTCCAATTATAAATCACAAAGTACCCTGGAACTAGGATTCGGATCTTGTTTCTAAAACAGAAATCAAATTGAACCACAATGGTAAGCAGAATTTCTTGCTTTTCCATTACTACCTCTTTATATCCATTTTGTGTATCTTAATTAAGTTTTTTTTATACAACTACACAAAATTAACCAACTTTTTAGAATTCTGAAAATTATTTGCAACCAGACATTTGGAGTGGTTTCATTTTTAAAATGTGTGCATTTATTTTAGGCACTTATGGGTACATCCAGTTTTTGAGAAAATGTGATTATCTCTGTTTTAATAATAAACTAAACAGGAGGTCAATTTTTAAAAAAGAAGATTACTAAATTGTGGGAAGGTCTAACAATGTTTTATTCCAAAAGCTAATGTGACCCTGTTATGCAGGGATTCCTGGCATCACAATGTGGTTATTGCTGCATTGACACATTAATACAATTGAAAATTTGTTTTAATATTATTCCTTTCATATCTAGTGCCACTGGTAATGACATCAGCCACAGTTCCTGGCACATACTGGATACTGCATAAATGTTTATTTGTTTTTTTTTCTTCCTTGAATCTGTCTTGCAAGTATTCAACTTTGAAAATCTTCAAAAATGTCATCTATAATTTAACATAGAAAAGGTGTTTTTCTTTTAATGTTGACAAATAAGCAGACCGTTGTTTCAATCCCCAAAGCACTCTTGGACTTTCATTTATTTAGGATCTATCAACTTTTTAAAAGAAAGGAAAATCATAAAAACTTTCAATATTTGGCCCTAATGTCTTTTCATTTTTCTTTCTATATGATTAAAATAAAAAAAAATAACCGTATTAAACCTCATCTAGGTCATTTTCTCTGCATAAAAATATATCTTGTAGGAGACCTCATATATTCATTGGTGTATGGTCAGGTGAATTCTTCCATTAAATTCTAGAAAGTATATTAAAAAATTCGAGAGTCCTCAGAGAGCCCTGGAATCTACCACGTAATACATTACTGTAACTAACTAAAATTAATGTAGGAGAAGTTATAGAGTTCTTGCCTTTTTTTCCGCTAGTGAAATTCTGAGAAAGTCGCCCAACTTGGAAGACAGCAATTTATCACTCCAGAGCACCCAAGTTCCAGAAAGAAGGCATGCCTCACTGGGTAAGCTATTCTCTTCTGTAGAGTTTAGAACAAGCCTTTTGGAACTGTAAAGGTCTGATCTTTAAAAGGTTTATACTTTAAATTTTTCGAACAAAGAAGGAATGTTTAGAATATCCCTAAGAGATCTAAATGTTCTTCATGGTTGTCTGAGAGTGGTGGTACAATTATGTAAAGTTGTTGAGAATAATTAGAAATTAAGTTCTCACTGAAATACCCTCTAGGAGCAAACGCCTAGATGTTAAGAATTGCACTGTTTCCTAGACCTGATTCTGGACTGCAGTTGTCTGCAATTAGATGATTCTGGGATGGTTAGAAAGACCATTAATAAAAATTATTGGAATGAGTCTCAGAGATTTTTCCAGACTTTCCATTTTACAGATGAGAAATATGAGGCCCCACAGGTTAGGTACTGTGTCTATAGTCATGTAGCAGAGCTGGTATCAGCAGGATTCCTAGGCCAATACTCCAGCTATACACTGCTTCTTCTCACTTAACACTCAACATCACATTCTTCAGTGTGACTGTGTACTTGTTTCACATCTAGGCCAGTGGCTCTCAAACTTTCAGGTACACAAGATCCTCCTAAGTTGCTCCCTAAAACCAACATGGGTCATTGAGCCTCATGCCCAAGTGATTCTGTGGCAGGTGGACTTGAGAAACACTGATTAGAAGCCCCAAATTGGGAATAAAGTCTTTAAACAGCAGGGCTGTTTTACATTCATTTGACAAATATTTATTCCATGCCCACTATTGTGCAGGCACTGTCCTGCCGACAGGGGATATATTTGTGAGCAAAACCAGATTCCTTCATATTGAAATGTGATTGGTGGTCTGGATAAAAAGGGAGTATCTTTAAAAATGCCAGAGAATATTTGATACTCTATGATATTAAATAACATTTCGATACAAGTTCATGGACCAAGTGAAAAAGAAGTCCTGTGTTAATGGAGTAGGAACATGGTGGTGAATGGTTTTGAGGAGTTAATGTTCTGTTGTGAATGATCTGTGGGTGTCCAGCTGAGCAGGTTAAAGCACAGTAGAAATAAGGTCATAATGTTATGGTCCAGTAACCTTTGCTTTGCTTGCTAGCCACAGATTATGTTTCTCACTCTGGCCAGTCATCTCACAAATGTATTGTCCTGGTCAAGGAATCAGATAGCAAATTCTTTAGCCTCATGGGCACTAAAATAAAACCTAGGCCCTATTGATGATGGGTTACTAGTATCTTTGAATGCTGAGATTCTTTGCTGTGAGTACTTCTGTCCAAAATTTATAAAATCAACATACTGGCTTAATGAATGTCCACACTAAGATAGGAATGTACTCTTGTAGATAATTCTCCAAGCCCAGAAATCTTTGCCACATCATAAATAGTACTAGATGAGACCACTTTGGGAATTACTTAATTAGTGTATATTGTAGTCTGAGCTGATTGCTTTATCCCATTTATTTGATCTGAAATATCATTCAGAAACCACTTTGGGGAGGAGAGAATTTATGATCCTAAGCAGATTTCAGCATCCCAATTGGATAATTTTTTAAAAAGACCATTATCACCAGATGTGCATTGGCAGATCCTTTGAACAGATGTTGGGTATGATGGATCTGTGGAGCTAGTGGAGGCACCTCGAATCCTCTAGGCCTGCACAGAAATGATTCAGTTTATTAGGCAATAATACTGGTGATGAAGTTTAATGACACAAACTGGAACGAAAGCAAATGACATCTAAATGATTGGAAAAAACGAAGAACAGACCAAAACCATCACAATTTTATATGAAAAGAAAGACCCATGGAATTTGCCATTTTTTCAGTATGAAACTTTCATGGAAGAGGCATATTTGAGCACATTTTTGCTGTGGGATGTATGAGGTCACAAGTGATGTTTATGGATTCTTATGTGATCCTGCCCATTTTGATGTGTGTGCTTAGAATGCTAATCTGTTCTTTCTTCTACTACAGCCACAGTATTTCCCAGTCCAAATTCTGATTTGGAAAGTAATGAAAGAGATGCTTTCAATGGCAGTCAAGTGCTTGCACGAATCCTTGGTTTGGAAAAGGTAACTTCATTCAATATTGCTGTGGATAGATAATAAAAAGCAGTTGAAAAAATACCTTTCAAGTTAATAGAAGGATCTCCCTAATAGGAAGAGATTTGGAGCACCTTTCCTATTTAGAGTAATATCTCAGGTGGAGTCTTTTCTTAGGAACTCTCCAATAAACAGCTTAATTTTAATACATTCTAAATTCCTTAAGGTCTTGAGTATTTACTTCCGTGTTAAGTCCCTTAATTGAACTTAAGGTTTTTATTTGGTAAGAAATAGGGTGGCATTATATGTAATCTTTTAATTTTCTGAAGCAGGGAAGAAAACAAGACCAAATGAAGCTATAACACTCTCCAAACTTGCTGCTTCATCCATATTAATCACATCCTTGGAAAAATTAGAGCTATGGAAAATATTGCCTCAAAGTAGGAAAATCATTTTCCTTAGCATATTTTAGAGAGCTTATCTATGGATTTCTCTGTTTTCTAATGATCATCCACTTTAGGATTTCTCAGATTGCAAGATAATAAACATAATTTCTCTCAGAGGTATGAACTGACAGCCTCTGAGCTGTGTGTGTGTGTGTGTGTGTGTGTGTGTGTGTGTATGTGTATGTGTGTGTATGTACAGGGATTTTAAGAAATTGAATTTGAATGCCTTTAGGCAGAACAGGTGCTTTTTGTAACTACAATGCCCACCTCTCCTTATTATCTTTAATACAGTCAGATTCTTACATTTAAGTTATTTGGCTGGCCTCATAGGCATTTGAGTCCTGTTTTATATGATCTTCAGAAATAAAGAAGAGATCATTTTCAACATTTTACCTTATAGAGACTATTCTCTTCCTCTCTCTCTTTCTCCCTCCCTTGCTCCCTCGTTCTCTCCCTCCCTTTTCCATCACATTCACACATACACATATTTTTAATAATTTACCGATGTTTTACATGGTAGACATTTCTTCCATCTGAATCATCAGACATGTCTCTGACATTTATTCACAATCTAGTAATCATAACCACTACTTCTGAATAAGTCTTGTTAGTTACCACTGAATTACCATTCTGTATAACTGAAGCATCTGAATACATTGGATTATATAAATAAGCCAAAGGACAACAAAAAAATGGACACCAGGAAAAGGTATCACACTCATCAAGGCAACTCTGCCTGTGCTGGCTGAAATAGAAGACTTTCCCATTCAAGCCAATCTAGATGTTGAAAGCCTAGTTTAAATAATATTGGAGGTCTCTAAGGCTCCCTGTCTGGCATAGAAGTCTCCCAATATGCCTAGTTAATTCCAGTCTAAGTCTCCCGCAATCAGGCCAGAGTGAAAACTCAGGAAAGTTTTTCTATTCCATTCTATTGCTTCTATATCAGTTCCTAGAAGCAGACAGTCTAGCATTGGATCAAATAAATTTTTTAATGCCTAGAACAGCAATGCTACTCTAAAAAATTCCACTTTATTGTATTGAAACTCCTGAGTTCTCTTTCTCATATGGAATAAAATTTTAGATTTTTGTGAAGCAGCACACAGAGCCATATATTCGGGGGAGATAAGCCAAAAATGAATTTTCTATGTATAGATACATATTTTTAGAGAAGTTGGAGTAGAGAAGGGATGTAAAAATTAGGATGACATATTGATGCCTGTGTCAGCACTCTCTCTGATTCCTCTTTCTTTCTCTTTACTGCTTTCTGCAACCCTTGCAAGAACGAGTAGAGAAATCATTTTGGGGTGAGTTTATGTGTAATGTTAGAAAAGAGATATGGATGAATGACTAGAAGATCTAGCACTTATGCTACATCCTAGATAAGTGGATCTTGTCTTGTTCCATTACATTTAGAAGTTGAGTCCCTGGAAGGCAGAGTGTAGATTTTGTGACATAAAGTTAAGGGGAGGATGAAGTTGGCTTCCCCTCACAGGGTTATAAGAATTAATTATTAAGAGGGACTCATTAAGTATGACAACTAAATATAATTGGCTCTGTAAATAACTAAACAACTTAATAATGGTAAATGCACTCAATATTATAGGTGAAAATAGTGCTATATCTGTGAATGGTCTACACTATAAAATATATAGGGTAATTATAATGATTCCATTATGAAAATGATTTCCAATTATTGATTTTAGTTTCATGTACTTTCACTTATGTTTTCCTTTTTTCTTTCTATATATAAGACTTAAATGGAAGAATTGCTTTGCTAGTGAAACATAATCCATGTTTGTCCACATCTGTAAATAAACACTGTTGGTCCTTTGACCTTGAAGCTCCTTCCTTTGAAGTCTTTCAAAGATCACAACCAGCTTCTCATGATGTGTTACAAAGGGTTAGGACACCTGAATTTATGCTGCCCAATACCCAGAAAAAAATGAATAAGATTTTTCTGCATGAAGACTTGGCCCATTCAGGTTTTCTGGTCAGAAACAGGAAATGAGTTCAGTTAAACAAATCATATGTAAATCATTGAAATAATAACAATGATAAGAATTTACCACATTCTCACATTCCCTCTGTAAGTTCTTATCAGTAAATTCAATGCATTTTATGATTATTTTAATAGTTGCTATAGTGGAGCACTTAAAATGGCTGTTGTGAAGACAGGTCAGTTTCCTTGAAGACTAGAATATTTTAACATCTACATTTGCTAACATTATTATTTAACTGTTCTCACACGTTTTTAGCTGTTAGAGAAAAATTCAACTTCAGAAGATATACGAAGAGAACTGTGTGCGAGCTATCCAGGATACATTGAGGATTATGCCTTCTCTTGGACCACTCTAGGAAAAAATGTTTTCAACAAATTCTGCCTTTCCAACATGACTCTTTTAGAGTCTTCTCTCCAAGAACTAAAAAAACAGTTCTCTCAGGTGAGTGTAAATCTATTAATATGATCAAGATCTCATAAACAATAGAAGGAGGGTACTGTTTCCATTGTTCGATTCTCAAAGTGATTGAACACGAGTCAAAGAGCAAATCTGTAACCCATGTGGACTGGGAGATGCTGACTGGGATATTTGCTCACTTTTGGCACATTCTCCTCACATAGGCATTTGGACACATGTTTAGTCTTAAGTATTGTTCACTTACCATTTAAATGTGAAGAACTGAGATGATTTCAATGCTGAACCAAAAATATTACATTATGGTTAATGTAGACACACCTTTATGGATGAAATATGGCTTTGCTCTATGATGAATGAAGATTGACTGTTTGAAATCTTAGTGAGATTACTCAGGATGTAATACAAGATTAATAATTAAACTATCAGGGCCATATAACTATCAGAATTTAGAATAATGGGTAATGTCTTTCTGTTTTTCTCGCTGAGTTTAAATCTAGTTTGAAAAGCTAAATTTTGATGAAACAATATATCTCTCTTCCCAAAATGTTACACATTAGAAGCAAGAACATTCTACTATGGAGTGCTAATGACCATTTGCATATGCTAGTCTTAAATAATAATGGTGAAAATGAGGTACCAATAATCTATATTTACTGAAATCCCACATACAATGAAAGATCACAAAAAGTATTCAGAACTTTCTTGAAATTTTATAGACCAGAATAAATGAAACATGTCCACTTCTAATGTTTTCCCCTTGATTCTCTGAATTTTACTGTAAGTAATTTAAGTACAGAATTCTTAAATAGCCCTTCAGTAATCTGAGTCTTCCAACTAAACTCAATTAGAAATACTGTTATCATAACCCTAATCCAATGTAAAGCACTTAAAATCCTTTCTTAACAAACTTGGCAATTAGGTAGAGTAGAATATAGGGTCAAAAATACATTGTTCAAAATCATATTCTCAGTATGAAAGACCTTGAATTAAGACAGATCAAAAGCTCAACTTTACTAGTGTAAATGAGCTTATTAAGAAAACACTTTGAATGGAAATATAATGAAGAAAATACTTTACCTCTGAAAGTACTAGTTGGATCATATGATCCAGACCAAGAGCAAAAATCATGGTTTTTGTTTATTTGTTTACAATACAAGGTGTGATTATTATACAGCTTCACTCACTATAAATCATTTATTATGACTAAAGTTCCTGGTATTGCATTAGATCTTTGAAAATATTTTATTGCGTTAAGTATGAGTAATC